TCTTTCACCTTTGGTGGACGTGCCCAGGGATTAAGGCTTTCTGGGAGATGATTTATAATGAAATGAAAAAGGTATTTAAATATACATTTCTGAAGAAACCAGAGGCCTTTCTCCTAGGCATGGTTGGCCAATTGGTGCCAAAGAAGGATAGAACTGCAAAGTACTGGAAGACACAAGAACTATCCACCTTGGAAGAATGGCAGATGAAGGTGATGGACTATATGGAACTGGCGGAAATGACTGGCAGAATCCGAGACCTGGGAGAAGAGTTGGTGGAAGAAGGTTGGAAGAAATTTAAAGATTATTTACAGAAATACTGTAAAATTAATGAATATTAGAATGATGTTGGAATGAAGTTAAGTGGTTTTAGCAGCAATGTTACAAAGGTGTATGTAAAAATGGATTACTAATAGGTGTGAATCTAAAGTTATAATATATCAAGACAAAGGATTAAGATAAAAATAAAGAGGGAAAGGATTTGCTGAATTAACTAATTGAACTGGAATACAAAAAAGGGAGGTGTGAGGAGGTCAGGGAAACAAGTAAATGCCATTATAAGAGCACTTCCTCGAGAGAGAAATGTGTTAAAATTCCAGAGTGAAAACAAAAAGAGAGTCAGTATCAGATGCTGTCCGTCTGATGCTGTTAAATTGCTCCTGCCAGACACATGATAAAAATAATTCTGAAGGGCAAATATTCTTCTGGAATGGATTTGATCAAGCAAACATTGACAGACACTTTGGTATGTTCAGAATACAATGCCCAAGGGAAGACAACTTCCTACCACAAAGAGCATAGTATCCTATTCACTATAACACTGAAACTTCCAAGTAACCATTTCTAGGATCCTGACTTGACAATAAGGTTGCCAATATCAGTCCCACCCACAACCAGCCTCCAAGGTAAAGACTCATTTAATGTATGTTAATTCACTTTAAATTATTAGTGTTCTGGAATTGAAACTGAATTTGAGAAGGAATGAGCAGGGGGAAAGGCCAACAGAAGCAGAAACAGCAACTCTGACAAGAAGGCCATGTAATGTAATAAATAATTATTTCCTAACCAGCCCCAGGCCCCTTATTTAAAGTTTTGCACCTCATTTCAACCAGCTCCAGTGGCCTTTTGCAGTGATGTGGATACAACGTATGTCAATAACGGTGGCTAGCATCCATCTATCTTGAGAGTCAATGGAGTGTGCCTCCAAGGGTGAATTCAAACTGCTGTGTTAGCAGCACTGAAGTGACCTCCCCAGGGCACAAGCCTGGGCAGTGTGTGGATGGAGGTCCTGGGCTGCCCAGATGACATGGTTCCCCTCTCAGCCTTGCTGATGTGGTCCAAAGGAAAGCAGAGCAATACATTTGGCACCAGCTTGGCTGCAGGAGTTGCTGGAAGGAGGCATACAAGGCGCCATCCATCCACATTAGGGACTGGATTTGTGTAGGGTTTACTCCTTAGCCTTTCCTTCTGAAGATAAACTGCAAGACAGCAGAGGTTTAGGATCAGAGTTTTCCTTCTCCTAGATAGGCTACTATTTCCCCAGGCTGATGAGCCCCATCTGTCCCTTGCTTCCCTCTACACAGCACATGCAGAAACCACCTTCTTGACCATTTCTTGGTTTCATCCACTCAATCTGCTTCAGCCTGTCTTCGCCTGGAGGGTCCTTAAACTCACCAAGGGTTTGAGACCCATCAGCTAGCCTCACTCAGTTTAGCTGGCCAATCAAAGCCATTCCCAGAGTGTGGCTACTGCAGCATGTTGACAGCTTCTAGGATAAGGTTACCAGCTTTTTTCAATGAATCCAGGGACACTTTTCAACTTCAATGGATTTTGTATGGAGACTGATGTTTAGATCTGGGGACTGTCCCCGGGAAACGGGGACGTCTGGTAACCTTATTCTAGGAGCCACAGGTGAGAGCTGAGTGCAGGGTGGGGACCAAGATGGACTAACTCCCCCAGAAGGAGCACAACTTATCTCTCACCAGAAATACTACCCCTCCCCTTACACCCCTGTCAATAATACAATGAAAATAAACCCCCATCTAATGCCTAAAAGCAGTGGTAGCCAATATGGTGCCCTCCAGAAGTTGCTGAGCTCCCATCACCCCCAGCCAGCATGGCCAGTCATCAGGGGCTATAGGAGCTAGAGGGCAGCAACACATTGACTATCCCTGCTAAAGTCTGTATTCAGTCCCCCCCCCCCTCCGCCATTCATGTAAGTGTCTGTGGTCTCTCTTAAGCTAGGCACTGCAGCTTCCAATCAGGAAGAAAAGTGTAACAGCTTCCTTCTAACCTATGTATTGAGTAATCTTCCACACACTTACTAGAGAGTAAATCTCACTGAGTTCAGTGCTACTTCTGAGTAAACATGTTTAGGATTGGACTGAATAAGAGGTTGGCAAGGAAGGCCAATGTCCTGTGCTGCTTCTTGGGAGTCTAGTGCTTCCTCTATTATCTCTGTTCATAGGAACACAGCCTAAATCTTCACCCTGTCAGTATTTTTAGATTTCACAGTGTTATTTTCTTACAGCATCTAATATGATACCTTTTTGGTGGTCATGCCCTGGTTATGGAACCAGGGGCTAGGGGTACTTGCCTGGCACCCACATTGTGGTCCTTTTTTATTTCCCCTGGGATTTTAAATCCTCAAGATACTCTAGTAAATAGATACTTTTATATGCTATCTTTTTAAAAAAATAAAATAAAATAGATTTTTGACAATAAGGAGAAACATCACATTTCCAAACTAGAGGCTATAAAACACCAAAGTTGGAATTTCCACAATATTAGCATACATACTACTGTAACTGTTTAGGTGTTAAGCCAATATAACATACAAAATCATAAAAGAATGCAGCAAGCTAAACAAACTACAAATAATATATACTACGTCATGAAACATAAAAAGGAAGAAACAAAACCCAACTATGGTGCAAAATATTAAATAATGCTTTGAGATGGATTGAATTAATAAAAATAATTAAACTTTAATTCAAAGAGACGTTATGACAAAAGGATTATATAAAATAAAACTTGCCCTTTTTTTCATAGGTGAGCCTCCTTCACCAAAGAAGGGGGGTTAGGAGAGTTACATCAACTATACAATACAAGGAGCTGATGCCAGAAGATTGCAATGTTCAGCTGTACTCATAAATCAACACAGGTTGCAGTGAAATTTCCTTTTTAAATTTATTCTCATGCAAGTCTCAATTTATTTGTCAAGATTTCCAATAGTCCAATCTGCCATTTTTATGCTATTTTACCTAGTTTGCTGTTGATGGTTTTATCAGTTAATGTTTTATTGCTTGTTTTGTTGCTTTTTAAAAATACTTACGCATTTTAAACTTTATTATTCACCTGTATATTAGCTGTTGGGTAATATACATACATTGTTAATAAATAAATAAATAAATAAATAAATAAATGAGTGCATAAAAACTTTTAAAACATAATCATACTATCTGAAGTAAAACAAAGACAAAAATGAATAAAAACACTGGTCACACATAAATAACAATTGGGGGAAATGGCTGCCTTGAAAATGATAGTATTGTCAAAAATACTATTGTATTTTTTAAATTTACCATTAGTTCACCCAAAATTTTTGATAATTGGATATTTATAGTTTTTATCTGGCAAAAGAAAAGACCCAGAGTAACTTTGAAGACTCTACATAACAATGAAGGAGAAAGGACTAGCTCTCCCATGAATTAGAAAACACTTTGAAGCAGCTATGCTGGCCTATTTAAAAATCAGATTTTACCCAAAAAGATTTTAAATACTGGACCAAATTATTGTTTTGACAAGTCTAAACAATACACTCTGGCATTGCTCACATTTTGATAAGGCTATAAGCCATGCTTATCAGCCATGTTTAACACTTTGTATAATAAATACAAGCAAAAAAATAGCCCCAGGTTTAATCACCTCTTACTGCACTGTTTTATAATGCAAACATGGAGGAGGAAGAATTATTAGGAAATCTTTATTTATGGAAATCATGGTTTCACAGAACTAAGAAAATACTGTATTTTTTGCTCTATAAGACTCACTTTTCCCCTCCTAAAAAGTAAGGGGAAATGTGTGTGCGTCTTATGGAGCGAATGCAGGCTGCGCAGCTATCCCAGAAGCCAGAACAGCAAGAGGGATCGCTGCTTTCACTGCACAGCGATCCCTCTTGCTGTTCTGGCTTCTGGGATTCAGAATATTTTTTTTCTTGTTTTCCTCCTCCAAAAACTAGGTGCGTCTTGTGGTCTGGTGCGTCTTATAGAGCGAAAAATATGGTAATTTAAGGATGATAATTTATGACATATAATGAAATAATTGTTGAACTGCAAGAACATCCTTAATCTTTTCAATGCCTGCAGCTTAGAACTACTGCTCATACTTTCAACCACAAACTATAGTTTTCTAAAAGGACTTGCTAACTTTAATATCCTGGTGTTGAAAGAATATCCAACACAGATCCTAAGTAAAATCTGTGACACCATCACAAACCTAATGTATTTACCCATCCAAATGAGAAAGAAGAATTAGGTCAGTAAATATGGATAAACTTAGTGTGCCACATAATAGTGTTAGTACAGTGGTACCTCTGGATGCGAATGGGATCCGTTCCGGAGCCCTGTTCACATCCTGAAGCGAATGCAACCCACGTCTGCACGTGTTGCGATTCGCCATTTCTGCGCATGTGCGTGACGTCATTTTGAGCGTCTGTGCATGTGCGAGCGGCAAAACCCGGAAGTAATGCGTTCCATTACTTCCAGTTCGCCGCGGAGCGCAACCCGAAAATGTTCAACCTGAAGCATATTTAACTCGAGGTATGACTGTACAGTGGTACCCCGGGTTACATATGCTTCAGGTTACATACGCTTCAGGTTACAGACTCCACTAACCCAGAAATAGTACCTCAGGTTAAGAACTTTGCTTCAGGATGAGAAGAGAAATCATGCAGTGGTGGCGCGGCGGCAGCAGGAGGCCCCATTAGCTAAAGTGGTGCTTCACGTTAAGAACAGTTTCAGGTTAAGAACGGACCTCCGGAACGAATTAAGTTCTTAACCTGAGGTACCACTGTATAATAAAGATTCTGTGTGAGTGGATGTCTGCATTGATAATTCCCCTTCCTCTCATCTCCACTGCAGCCTCCCCATCCCCAATCTGCTGTAGAGGGTCGCCCTGTCCATTTGGTCCCCCTCTCCCTAAATGAATGAAATTCCTTAATGAAAATGCACATTTCTTTGCAAATCCTCCAGAAGTGTTACATCTTAGATCTGATGCAGCCTAAACCTATGCATGTTGATTAGAGAAGGGAGTCCCACTGAGTTCAGTGGGGCTTACTGCCAAGTAACTTCAGTACAGGATTATAGCCTTACTGTAGTTCCCCTTCCTTGTGAACACAGCCACTTCTTTCTACACAGAGACAGAGAGAGAAACTAACAGGAAAAGAAGACAGAATGCCTGTGTTGTCTTCAGGTACAGTAGCTGTTTCAGAGAGGAAATTTCGGCAGGTGCAGCTTGTTTTGCAGGAATAAGATAAAGCCACACCTGCCTAAATGTCCTCTTTTTAATTTTTTAAAGGGAACAGAGCCCTGTTCCTTTCGCCATCTGTTCAGGTAATATTTACCTGCAGCAAACAAGCCTTTTTCAAGATGATAATCAAAGAGCACTGTTTATGGGGCTAAGGAAATGTGTGAAACCCACCTGTTTGACTTGCGGGTGTTTCTCTGCTTGCAAATTCTGCCCACAAAATCACTAAGCCAGATATGAGGAAGTAACCCTTCTCTGCCCCTTTGGCAGAAGAATGAGGCTGAGCTGCCCTTGAGCACCTGAATGGAGTGTGTGCCTTGCCTTCAAGGGATATCAGAGGAGCAGATTTGTAGCTTTCGTCAGTCTGCAAAGTACCTGTGGCAAAGAAGGCAGATACTTCCTAGGATGTCTAGTGTGAAACCATGAGATCAATCAGGAGGTGGTGTCCTAGGGGAACCAGGCTGCTTCTCATAGGCTTCTTGTTCCTTGTTCTCTCTTTTGCTGCCTACATTGGCTTTACTGAAAAATATCCATACAGGTAAGAGGAGATCCCTCTCCTTTTCAGATGAACCCCATGTGTTGCTTCCTCTGATAAGCTTAGCTGGTCTTTCCTTATACTGAAATGCATAGTGTATCATACTTACCCATGTAATCTCTCTTATGGAAACGTAAAACTATTGCATAATATAAGTTAAGATAATATTTTCTCTGTCAGTGGCTCACTTTTATCTGCAGGGCCATAGCCAGCCATCCTTGCAAAGTCTTGACTGCTATGTTTCCAGGTAGGGCTTCAAATGAATTAAATCAGAAGTGTTGGCTTCATTATAACCAACAGCAACTTTGATACGCCTTTCACATAATCTGTGTCTGTATCTATAAAAGGCTCACCTATCATCACACACAGGTTGAATGAGAACAGCTATTTGTAAACTGAAATACATCAACTCACTTATAATGACTACATTCCTGAAATAATGTCCAAAAGGGGGAGATTTATAGTGAGTTTATGCAGATATAACAGCTCCACATATAATGGAAAATGAACTACTAATTCATTGAGTTAAATGACAAGAAGTCCCTCCCGCCCCCCAGATAAGAATTAAGGAACATGAGGTATCTAAAAATTTAAAGCAAACTACTTCTGCTGTAACTAATAGTAATTGGGGGTGGGGGAAATAGCTGTGCACCTTAATTTTTTCAGACGCTCAGGATTAAACTTATGTTGCATACCAATGCTTTAAAAAAACTGGCTGAGAAATACAAAAAAGGGTACATACTGGCTGCAGTAAAGCTCTTTTAGTTCTCACTTGGAAACACCCTTTAGCTCTCCCATGGTTAACCCATTTGTGAAGGGTGGCTGAAGAGAATTTTCTGTCCTATGTGGGAGAAGCCTCCTGCTGCTATGAGCACATGAAGACAAATAATGCTTGCTGCCTGGTAGTGGTTGTAGCCCTCAATGCTGCCAAGAAGTGCATGCTACTATTTGAGGCGTGCAGTTTTTCTGTTCCGTTTCCTGGGGTTCCTTCCTCTCCGTTCCCCTTGATTGAAGAGATAGCAAGGAAGCAGCACAATATTCTAGAGCACTGCTGACACTTCTTGCGTCTGTCTATAATGAAAGGACAGAACTAGGGATGTAAGAAGGCAGCAGTTTCCATTCCAATCCATATTCATTGCAGTCAGCACTGTTTCCATTCCACTGCAGCTCAGTTTCTACCAAATACTCCATTAGTGGTTTCACTGTCCTCTTTTTAACATAAATTAGATAGCGCTATTTTTATTGTAATAATATATGTATGTTTTTAATCAATATATTTTTATATTGTTTTAATTCTACTTGTTTTTTAATGGTTGCTTTTTCTTCTATGTTTTTAGCTGCTCTTATTTTATTGGTAAGCTGCCTTAAGTCCCTGTCAAGGGAAAAGGCGCGATATAAATAAATATTGAATAGTAATGATAAATTATATATCTATTTACATAACACAGAGCTGGATTCAACTATATGACTTTTAGGAGACATCTGAAGGCAGCCCTTTAGAGGGGAGTGTTCAATGTTTGAGGTTTTATTGTGCTTTGAATATCTTGTTGGGAGCTGCCAAGAGTGGCTGGGGCAACCCAGTCAGATGGGCTGCGTATAAATAATAAAATTATTCTTGTTATTATAAGTGCTTTTTTCTTTAAAAAAAATGTTTAGGGGTACTCTCACTTTGACTCAAGAAAATCACCATTTTATAGTTCAAATCGGGGGAAATAAATACAGTAAATGGACAAAAGTACAAAGATTCACAAAATGTTTAGGGGTATGTGTACCCCCAGAAAAAAGCACTGGTTATTATTAACTATTAACTAACCTTTTCTGCTAGTGGAAGCTAGCTTAAGGGCTCCTGTCAGCGCAATAGGGCTTTCCCCCTCTCTCCTCCCCCAACTCTGCTCTGGAAGGTTAGGAGAACCTGAAGAACACTGTGCAGGGAGAGAAAAGGGGAAATCTTTCCCCCTGGAAAGAGGAAATACTTGCGCTGTTGAAATAATTGCCTAGGCATCATTTGCAGATAAAATTATTTTACAGTTTATTGAAAGAATGAAACTGAATTCTAAAATATGTTTTGACCTGGGTGTGGATTAAACAGCTCGATGACAAGGAGGGGGTAGCCTCTGTTTTTTGCTGCAAGCAAAATAGTATGGGCAGTCTTAGGCCCATACTGGGGCTCTCCAGCTCTCCAGATGTTTGGGAGTACAAATCCCATCATTTGTGACCATGGGTCATGCTGACCATGGGTCATGCTGGCCTTGATTATTGCATTTATTTACACCCTGCCTTTTTCTCTGATGGGACTCATGGTGGCTTACAGATAAAAAGTAGAACCACTAAATACATAGGGGGAAACCCATCATTTTTTTTTAAAAAATGAACACTGATAGATTAAAACTATATACATATATTAAATCTATGAAAAACCACACAAATAATCACAATAAAATCAGAACAGCACTGTTGGAACAGGAAAGATCTATTCACCTGCCGGCAGATGGGCAACGAGGGCAAACATGTGCCAACCTTCACCTACCACAGATGCACAGTAACTAATTTAGAAGAAAATCCACAGCTATTGCCAATAATTGGCAGCCATCTTGTGACTTCTGACAACTCAGAATTGTAAATGCAGACATGACCAAAGGAAACAGCCTTGAAATGGAGAAGAGCAGTAGAACTTTAAATATGAAGGGAGGAAGGTGTTTAGCTTGGTCAATGTAAATAAGTGATCAAAGCGCTTGGAGGGGCCCACCTCTGTCCCACCCCCTGCTGCCCTCTTGCCTCTTAGTGCCCCCTGGGTAATCCCATTGCCCCCCAGGGGGCAGTACCAGCCACCTTGGGAACCACTGAGCTAAAGGGTAAGTACTGCAATTCTCACATGCTTTTGCTAACAAGTGGCCCCATGTGGGGCATGGGGTTGAAAAACTTCCACTTACGTGGTTTCATGGGATAGTTGGGTGTGATCAAGTGAGAGGTGATCAACTGATAATTAACTGACTGGCCTGGCAACCCTATTGTCGTTTCAAAACTGTACTTTCAACCTAAATCTTTAATCATTACCAGATGTCCAGCACAGTTTAAATCAATAAATCATTCTTTGCGGAGAGGGTTCAAGCCTGTCACTTTTGGAGTACAAGCCATTCCTCCTTTTAATTGCATACCTACAATTATTTACAATGGTATCCCGACTTTTAGGCTGCTGGACTTGGCAGCCATCTGGTGCTCGATCTGTTTGCAGAAGGGCTGTGCATACAATTGCATTTACTCAGGCGTGTCCGAGATTTAATTTAGGGTCAGAGTTGTGCATGAGCTTAGACCTTGTGCTGAACATATCAAAAGACAGAGTAACCGTTAAAGTTTATTGAAAAGAGGTGGAAGATAACGCAGAAATGCAAGGCCTCTATATAAATCAAGGGTTGCTCGAGCAGTACATCCTGTGGTGGGTAAAATTACCATGGGGCATGCTAATAGTTCTCTCTCCTGTGCTGGTCCTTGTGGTCTAGAAGTTATTAGAACAGCATGTTGTTTAGAGCGCCAGTCTCCTCCAAAAGTTCGTGTGGAAGGAAGCTTAATGGTCACTTTCCTAGAAAAGGTTATTCAGAGCCAGCTGGCATGTTGCAGCCCCATGAAGAAACCATAACAAGCGCCACCACTTGCCATTTATATACAGTGGTACCTCGGGTTAAGTACTTAATTCGTGCCAGTGGTCCGTTCTTAACCTGAAACTGTTCTTCACCTGAAGCACCACTTTAGCTAATGGGGCCTCCCGCTGCCGCCCAGCCACCGAAGCACAATTTCTGTTCTTATCCTGAAGCAAAGTTCTTAACCTGAGGTAATATTTCTGGGTTAGCAGAGTCTGTAACCTGAAGCGTATGTAACCTGAAGCGTATGTAACCCGAGGTACTACTGTACTCCAAATTGTGCCACCGGGAAGAGAAAGTCATTGGGGTGAACGGTGCTGGCACTGAATGGAGCCACTGTGAGGCAGGAGCATTCTTCAACTGCTTACATAATTTTTTGGGAAGGAAGGGGGGCGTGATTTAACATTAAGAACACTTTATACTCTCAACAAAATGAAATAAATAACAAAAACAAATTCTTGAACTTCAAGAGGCATACTGTATTGCCAAGAGAGAAGGGACAACTGAAGCAGGGGATCCGGCAGTCAGTCTTCTTTGTAGCTGTAGGAGGGCAAGGTGACATGGTAGAGGGTGCCTGTTCTCAACATCAGATTCTATCAAACAGTTCTGTTAAATCTCTGCTTCTCTTTATCCCAACCTTCTCAAACAAAAAGCAAAAACTGCCATGGGTGGCTTTTCCCGAACTGCAACATTGAAGTCTTATGATATCATCAAGGCCTCATTCTTACAGAAATGTCATGGAGATACAGATATGTGACAAATGCCCGTGTGATTGCGGTTCAGTGGGAGTTCAGTAATTCTCAGTGACAGAAAGTTTCCCAAGAATAGCCAGCACCACAGCCCCATTAACCACAGACCAGCAGTATTTTACTTGTGCTTTGCTGAATGACGTGGGCACATTGTGTCTTTTTCAGAGCCCCAGCAATTGATACACAGAAGCATTATTTTGTTTGGGGATGGGATTTCACTTACTTTTTTTTTAAACAAACCCTCCGGCAATGTGCTATGATGGATTATCTTCTGGCTAGCTGCCGCTCTGCACATTTGTGCCAGCACAACAAACAGTTCCAACCGCATGTAACCTGTGCGATTGCATGCACTAAAGGCAGTGGGGACTGTCTTACAAACATTCAGGACTCCAGCAGATAAGTGCTTGCACCCTTTTTTGGGGGGGGGATCTCCTCACCTTGTGCTAGTACACGCCTCACACTCCCCAAGAATTGCACATATGTGTGAATACAGCCACACCTGGGTAAATGAATTTATCTCGCCTCCAGCACCAGCAGAGATACTGGTGCAAGGTGAAAGCATCTTCATTGGCTTGGATAAGAGATGCAGTTACCAGTCCATTAGATGATATTCCCAGCTGTTTCAAGACATTAGCACAGAGCTTTCCAAACTCTGTGTTGTGACACGTTAGTGCGTTGCACAAACACTCCCTACACTCCTCCTGGGGCTGGAAAGGGGCTAGTTTAATCTCTAGTTTGCTAGTAGAATGGAATTACTGTGTTGTGAAATGATGCATGTTCAAAAAGTGTGTCACCAACTTGGAAAGTTTGGGAAGCGCTGCATTAGCAGGACACAAAGAGCCGAGAGCAGTGATATTACTACTTTGCAGCAAGTCCTTTCCCCAAAGGATTATTCCTTTAACCCCATACTCTTTCTTAATGCATTAAACAAGTTGTGCTGCAGCCATGTGGCTTTCATACACAGAATATGGGTTGTTGTTTTCTCAGGAAGCCTGGTAAATAACAGCGTATTGTCAAGGTTGCATTCCTGCCATGGGTTGTATTCAGAACTGCCTTTGAAAACACTTCAGAAGCTTCCGTTAGGGCAGGATACATTTGCCAAAATGTTGATGTGTCCCAGCTTGTTCAGATCACATCTTGTTGCATAGGTTAAAAAGATCTGTGCTGGTCGCCCGGTTGTTTCTGAGCAGAGTCCAAGTGCTGTTACTTACCTAGAACCTTTAAACTAGGCATAAACAACTTTTTCTTCTTCTCAAGGGCTGTATTCCCTTGGGATTGATCTGTTAAGGGCCACACATGCTATGTGTGTGTGTTGTGGGGAAAGGTAGACTAATTTCATGGGAGCCAGACTCCCAGCTCCCACCATGCTGCCTAATAATAATAATAATTTATTATTTATACCCCACCCATCTGGCTGGGTTTCCCCTGCTGCTCTGGGCAGCTTCCAGCAGAATATTAAAATACAATGATTCTAGATCCTTATTTCAACATCTGGCTGCAATTGTGGATGGCATGAGAGAAAACCAGCTGATAAGAAGAAAAAATAAAAATGCAATGTCATTTGAAATGGGAATGTTTAAATGGCTAGATGTGATTCCCAGAGAGGAAAAATGCTCAGTAGAGAATGGAATGGCTAGAACAATCTACACAAGCCCTAAGAAGCCAGAATTGCTGTATCACATGGGTCATCCTATTTGGGGAAACTGTGCAGCTGTTCCGCCGTGGTGTGGGTTTTTTGTGTGTGGTTATTTTTAAGATTACGTTTCTGAGCTCTGAAAAAAGAAAGAAGATGAACACAGACAACATGGGAGGAGCTTGATTTGTTCGCAATGACATGCAGATGGCTCGTTGCTCTTCCACAGTAAATGCCCAGTTTGGAAGCAGTCTACATGGAAAGAGGGGAAAATACTGTTAAAAGCCAAGGGGAGGGGGGATAAGGAAGAAACAGAACAGGAAGGAAGGGAACCTGATGGCATGGAAGATTGGGACAGCTGCAAGGCAGGGTGGGGGCTGCAGGTTGCTCATCTGTGCCCTACATGGATTGAGACCCAAGTATTCCTGTGTCTGCCTACTCTCGTATTCATCTTGCTGTGATATAAAGTTATGCCCTTCTTCTAGTGCAAACTCCTTCAGGCTGCCAACTAGGGAGAGGGTGTTCTCCCCAAAAAGACTCCTTTGGCTGGCACCTATGTCACAGTCATCATGGCGGCAGGCAAAGGTTCATTTATTTACCCAGGCATTTTGTGGTTTATCTGTGCACTCTTGGCTTTATGTCTGCGTTTATAGTTTTATTGGAGCTGTATTTCATTTCTGAAACAAAAATGTATTTCATTGGCTTTCAACAGTAACAAAAGAAACATAACATGAAAAAACAACAACACATGAAGTACATATTATTGGGATGCTAGTTACAAAAGGAACAGTAAGGAGCAGGCATAATAGGTTCACGGATTGCTTTCCATAGAGATGTGTGTGTTGTAGCAAGTTGCAATAACTGCCGAATTACGAACTTTTAACATGTTTATCTGGAATCTTGTTTTTTATGAAGGGTGATATATAAATCTTTTAAATTTAAATCACTATCATGACCAATATAGCCGCCTTGCATGTTAGCAGCCTTCCACAAAACCAAACCTATAATGCTATGTTAACAAGGCTATGCACCCACTACTGTTTATCTTGGCTCCAGTGTGCTTCCACTGCTGGTGTTTGAAGATAAGTACACACAACGTTGGGGACGCAGGTGGTGCTGTGGGTTAAACCACAGAGCCTAGGACTTACCGATCAGAAGGTCGGCGGTTCAAATCCGTGCAATGGGGTGAGCTCCCATTGCTCAGTCCCTGCTCCTGCCAACCTAGCAGTTCGAAAGCACGTCAAAGTGCAAGTAGATAAATAGGTACCGCTCCGGCGGGAAGGTAAACGGTGTTTCAGTGTGCTGCTCTGGTTCACCAGAAGCGGCTTAGTCATGCTGGCTACATGACCCAGAAGCTGTACACCGGCTTCCTCGGCCAATAAAGCGAGCTAAGCGCTGCAACCCCGGAGTTGGTCACGACTGGACCTAATGGTCAGGGGTCCCTTTACCTTTACCTTACACAAAATGTTAGTCACAATCCATCTGTATCCTATAGTTTCTTGAGAAACACTCCAGTTGGATGCGTTTTCCCTCAAAGCAGTTTTTGTCTGATTTGAAAATGCAAATCTGAGGTGTGTACAGTCTTTGCGCATACACATGCACTGATGACAGCACATTCGCAGGCGGAAGTTTCTTTGAACAAAAGTTTGGCAGGGGGCGCTACAGGGTGGGGAAACAAATCTGGTATTGCATATTTGGAGAAAACATCCCCACTCGCGCAGTTGTGTAGAACAATGTATAAATGTGATTTGAAATGATCTCACTGCGGTTTATGCCGCCAATGTGTACATAGCCCAAGTGTATTTATACACTTGGCTTTTTTGTCTGAATGTGTTAAAACCCAGCCTCAGGAAGGGCTTACTTGTTATTTGTTTAAATCCATAGAATCTTCCTGTCACCTTTCTACAAATCCAAATATCGGCAGTCCGCTCCTTGGCATCGCAGGTGCCTTGGGGGAGAATTAATTATAATGGCTTATTAAAGGTTGTAAACAAGGGGTAGAGAGTTCAAATGTCGCTGGGGTCTCCATAACACGGCTTCCATGATATTGCCAAGTGTAAGCAACTGTCTAGTACACTTCATACAAGTGGAACACAGTGTATAATTTGTATAGTTATCTATTGCAGTAACTATCTCTTTTTTAAACTACCTTTCAGCCAGTTTCCTTACTTCCGCCGTGCTGGAAGCATGCCGCAAACAGACACCCGGCCCGCTACCCCAGAAGTGATGACTGCCAACAGGGAGACACCAAGGCCTCTCAGTATAATACTTGGCCCAAGTAGCTCCCCATTGGAGCAAGATGCTGTTAAGAGATTGGCAAATGGTGGCAACACCATGGACACCCGAGAGAAGCATGTGGAGGCCACCAGCCCATCAGATTCGACTGAGAAGCAAGCCAGGGAGAGAGGTGTGATAGCAGCCAATCCAAAGCAAGTTGTGGAGAAACTAAGGCCCACAGCCAATGAGAATCAAGCTAAACACAAGACTGTGACAACTGCAGCTGGTCAAAACCATGCTGGAGGTCTGAATGCAACCCCCACGGTGTATAAGAAAAAAAGGGAGAAGCATGTGACATCAACATCCAGTCCAAAGGAAGAGAAAAATAAGTCGGAACACAAAGGAAATGAACGAGCTGAGGCTAAATATGAAGCGCCAGCATCCAATCAAAAGCTGGATGAGGAAAGAGGTGCAAAAACAGCATCCAATCAAAATGCCACACCACGACCCACTGCAAGCCACACCAAGGGGAAAGTTTCCAGAGAAATGGACGTAGCTAAAAAGAACCAGAGTTTAGTTGATTCTCTTTCTGTTGTCGCAGATCACAACGTCTCTATCCCTAGGCCAGGGGCTCAACAAGTCACACATCCAGTTCCTGCACCGACCCCCAAGAAAAGGCTTAAAGCATCTGACTTCAAATCTGAGCCCCATTGGGACTTTGATGACCAGTATCTCCTGGACAATTCAACACCAGCATCAGTGAGTTGATATAGCGTGACCTGGCCCTAAATGTCCTACAGATACCTTCATTTCATTGTTACACATACAGAATAATACAGAAGTATAGACCTGGCCTGGGCCATTTCAGTTCTCTATAGTCTGGGGCGTAATCCAACAAAAGAGTAGAAGCTGACTCCGCTAGGTGACATTCTCACCTGTTCTCTTCCCACTCTTCTAATCTTGGCTGTAAACTTTTTGGGCATGAGGGTTCCTCCTAGGTTCCTACAGTGTTTTAAACACCTGTTCTGGTTTGAGTTGATGAATATAAATTAATGCACTTTAGACTGCTTATGGTGGCTTGGATTATTGTTCCTACAAAATAAGGTAAATAAATAAATCCATGGGCACAGAGAATTGGCATGAGAAGGGAACGGAAAGTCAAGGTTCCTTCTCTGGTCTAGTTTTCTATACGAAGGAAGGGTATTTTTTTAGTACAGAGGACCACTTAACATCAGCCTGTATCTGCAATCTCTGACAGGTTTAGCAGCCCAGTGAGATGGTCTAAAACTCTTTTTGACTGTGTACACACCACCCATTTGCAACATATTTATTTTCCCCCTTGCCCAATAATCCTGGGAGTTGTAGTATAGCCCTCACCGAGCTACAGTTCCCAAGATTCGGGGTGTGGATGTGTGCATGCATTCAATGCATGGTGTGTACACAAAAATCATTCAGATAATAGCAGCTCCCTTTGACTGAGACTGTCCAACAGGATTTTGCTAACGTAACTAACAGGATGTGGTTACCGTTCTCAGTGTCAGTTAATATGGTTCTCTAAATATAGTCTCTCAAATAAGCACCTCCTGACTTCATTCACCCTTTTTTTGTGTATTTTGAGAGCTGCCCTGATTCTCTGCGGGTCAAGGCTGCCAAGTCTGATTGGCTGAAGGATCTCTTCCTGCCCAACCTCACTCTTTTCATGGACAAGACTCACTTCAGTGACAGCGAATGGGAGCGTCTAGACCATTTTGGCCCACCCTATGGCTTCATGGAGCTGAATTACTCATGTGAGTAACTCTTTGAAGGGGATGACAGAAAGAACCGAGGGTCAAGGGTTCTTCTCTCTGGGACAAGTGCTCACAGGTCTTTCATTGAGAAGACCAACCCTCTTTCAAATTCCCCAGATGAGAACCTGCTCCCTGTCCCCCTGTCATGTGATCTAGGAACAGTCACCATTTCGAGAATTGTGAGGACTTTTGCAGAAACTCAGGTTTAGGGCAAACCTGTTCACTCAGATTTACTGTAAGGCTTACTGTAAAGAACGCAGCAAAACAACATGGGAGGCAGCAGTTATGGGTTACCGGTCTCTGCAGCCACAGCAGGCGCTGTGATTCTCCAGTGGTTAAACTTCACCCCTGGACGCACACTCCATTGTCTATCGAGACAGATAGATGTAAAGAAGCAGGGATTATTTTGCTACAAGGTAGATAGTATCCTCAAATAGAAGCATTTCCCACCTTCAGGATGCTGGTAGCTTGTAAGTTATTTAGATGATGATGATGATGATGATGATGAACCAAGAGAGGACATTATTGGATTTTTCACTTCAAGTGCCAAAATGCCTTGAGGTAGCCTTAACAGAAATTGATTGACCAAATGCGAAAGGAAGCATGGTTCCTGCGTCTTCGATGTTTGGGTAGAGGAGGGGAAGTTTAAGTGCACCATGCTGGAATTCCCTCTTGTGCTGAGCTCTTAAAGATGCAGGAGACTCGACTTCCGGTTGGCTCGCCCGATTATGGCGGACAGGAGTTCTTTCGCAAAAAGGGCACCGGCGCTTTGAAAACAGGGGAGAGCCGCTAGAGTGCAGCGGCACCCTGAAAAACCCTCAGATCGAGCATTCTGAGGACCTGGAGTTCCTGCGGGTGCCGGGAACGACTCCCCCGCTCCCCAGTAAGCTCTAAAAAGAGTGCAGAGTGCGAGCGGGGTTGGAGACGGTGGCACTGGGGAATCAATTCGCTTCCTTAAAGATGTAGGAGACTCCCCCCCCCCGCCATGTCCTCTTTGGGTCTGGCCTCCCTTAGCAGAAGGTGCCTATGCGCTCCAGGTGTGCTTGCGCATTTGGTAAATGAGTGTGGTGAGGAGCATCTTGAGTATCAGTGCAAATGCATCCTTAAAGTAGAAGGCTGTAGAACAGGGTTTCCCAAACTTGGGTCTCCAGCTGCTGTTAGACTACAACTCCCATAATCCCTAGCGAGCCAGACCAGTGGTCAAGGGTGATGGGAATTGTAGCCAAAAACAGCTGGAAACCCAAGTTTGGAAAGCACTGTTATAAAAGGAGACTCCTTCATTGGAAGGGGCTTTTCAGCAGGGCTGGAAGACCTCTGGGCTGCAGAACTAATTAGGTCTGGCACAGGCCCCAATTTGGCCACCGGGCTGCGTCCTCCCAAAAGTCATGCTCACCTGCTGTCATATGTGATGACAGCATAGAGAGAGCAAACCAGCTGGGATCAGCTGCACTTCTGGATTCTCTGTGGGGGACTCCAGCAGAAAGCAGAGAAGAAAGTGAAGCTTTAAGTTAGCACCCAGCTGCTGACAGACACTGACGTCAAGCCAGGGGAAATCCTTTGCGAGGCAATCCCAGCTCCAAGTCAGTGCCTGTCAGCTGACAGGCATAGGGGTGTCAGGTGCTTGACAGGTGAGCAGGCACCTGCTGAAATTGCCTCCTGAGGGTGGGAGAACCCAGGATCTGGCCCAATATATTTACTTAAAAGTATTAAGATTGTCAGGAAGTCTTTCAGGAAGCATTCCAGATAAAGACCAGGGTGAAGAAAGCTTATAATAGGGATCTCCTTTTAGATAAAATTTATGCCAACTTTTACCCAACTGCGGTAAAAAAACCGTAGAAAAAGTTCGGTTTGGCACACACTATTACTCAGCTATATTAAATGGAACCAAAAACAGAGATGCTTCAGAAGTTTGAAAGCTATGTGAACCTCCGTTTGTAAACTGAGCCTGCACAGTTTGTGCTATTGCACATTGGGTATATCAAAAAGCTTGCAGGATTTTTTATTGTTTGAAAAGGAGTGTAGTGGGCATTGAAAGGGGGGGGGAGAGGAAGGAATCTAAATGTGCACTAGGCACGCCCTCCCTGCGTACAGATAGCAACAATTCAGCAACTGCCCCGCTGTCTTCTGCAGGTATGGACTTCTTACAAAGCGATGTCTACAAATGTGAAAATGGCAGCATTTCAGAGGCCAAGCCTAAGACAACCTGGCAGACTTTAAAGTGCTCTGATTCTGTTCTGTTCCTGTGCCTTACTTCCATCCTACGCCCCAACCAGTTCAGAGATGTGCATGTTTACTGCCTGCCCTTCATACTAAATAAGGACGCCTTTTGTCTTTCAGTGGTAAAACAAGTCATCACCATGCTTCCCCCTAAACCGTACCACCAAATTCTCTTTGCACGCAACAGCAGCCAGACTTCCAGGTGTATCAGATGTGCGGTGGTAGGGAATGGGGGGATACTGAACAACTCCAAAATGGGCCAAGAGATTGACTCCCATGATTACGTGTTCCGGTAAGAGGAACTGCTTTTTCCTATGTTCTTCTTCTGCCTATCTATCTATTTAGATGTTTAAAGGTAAAGGGACCCCTGACCATTAGGTCCAGTCGTGGCCGACTCTGGGGTTGCGGTGCTCATCTCGCTTTATTGGCCGAGGGAGCTGGCGTACAGCTTCCGGGTCATGTGGCCAGCATGACTAAGCCGCTTCTGGCGAACCAGAGCAGCACACGGAAACACTGTTTACCTTCCCGCCGGAGCGGTACCTATTTATCTACTTGCACTTTGACGTGCTTTCGAACTGCTAGGTTGGCAGGAGCTGGGACTGAGCAACAGGAGCTCACCCTGTCACGGGGATTCGAACCGGCAACCTTCTGATCGGCAAGTCCTAGGCTCTGTGGTTTAACCCACAGCGCCACCCGCATCCCAATTTAGAAGTTTAAAGGTAAAGGTAAAGGTACCCCTGCCCGTACGGGCCAGTCTTGCCAGACTCTGGGGTTGTGCGCCCATCTCACTCAAGAGGCCGGGGGCCAGCGCTGTCCGGAGACACTTCCGGGTCACGTGGCCAGCGTGACATTGCTGCTCTGGCGAGCCAGAGCCGCACACGGAAACGCCGTTTACCTTCCCGCTAGAAAGCGGTCCCTATTTATCTACTTGCACCCGGGGGTGCTTTCGAACTGCTAGGTTGGCAGGCGCTGGGACCGAGCAACGGGAGCGCACCCCGCCGCGGGGATTCGAACCACCGACCTTTCGATCGGCAAGTCCTAGGCGCTGAGGCTTTTACCCACAGCGCCACCCGCGTCCCAATTTAGAAGTTTAGTCCTTCCTAAACAAGCAAATGAAAACAGTCTAAGGTAGCTTAACAGTATTGTTAAAACAGTGACGTGTGCGCACGTATTTATGTGTGCATATGTGTGTTTGTGTATATCAGAAGTCAACGAAAGCATAATCCATGAAAGTGCCAGAAGGATAAAGCCAGAATTAAAACTGGCATCTCCTCTCAGTACTGAAGGATCGAGATTATCTCCCCTCAACAGTCTGGAGATTGGCAGAAAAGTGCTCTGTAAAGCCAATCTATGACAGAAAGTCAGTCGCAAGGAATGAGCTAACGGATGTCTGTTTTTAAACCTGCACATGCTCGCAGTTTGGGGCAGACAGGATTGGGGGGGGGGAGCTAAAAAAGTTCTGTTTCTCTTGCCTGCTTGAGTAAGCTTCCTCTTTTTTTGCCTGTATGGGTAATCCTGCAGAAATTGTTTACTGGTCACTATGAAAGGAAGCGTCAGAGAACAAGGAGGGGCTCAGCCTTTGGGAGAGATCCCGCTGCAGCCCCTGCGCAGGTGAATAAATTCTGTCCTTCCTCAGAAAGAACCCGTGTCTGTCATTATTGACTGGGAGAAATCCTGCAACAGTACCACAAAGCCTTCTTGGTCATCTACTAAAAACCAATGTTATAAGCCAAAATTACACACACACACTCATATGTGTATATGTGTGTGTGTGCACGCACGCACGCACGTATGCGCGCCAAGGTGAACTTCCATCAATAATTTGTTGAGTGAAAGAATGTCCTTTGAAAGTGCTTTCAAATGTAGGGATAGCTGGGGCATCTTAAGGTAGGGAATCTTCTGATGGTGATGAGAGGGATGCTTCACACAGGAGAAGGCGATCCTAGGGACAGGGCCGATTCACCAACACTGCTGTTTCTTTTCCAGGTAGTTTGAGAAATCTGAAACTGATGGTCCTAAACCAAATATTATGCACACAAAATGACCTTTTCTCTCTCACTCTTCGGAGCCAACATCGTTGACAACCTTTTTTAAAATTAAAAGTTATGGGGGATTCCCACACCTTATATACTGTATAATTTATTGCTTGTGTCTACATATAAATTCCATGCCAGGGTATTTGGAGTCTTCTCCAAATGTCAGGATGTTAACAGCTATCCATTATACACCAACCTTGTGCATATGTGCAAAGATCATGGTTCCGATTAAGTTTCATTGTTCTGGCTTATAGAAAATTGAAATCACCTAGATATCTTTAACCTTTGGAGCTCCCTTCATCTAGAAACTTGCCCAAGCCACTTATTTTGTATCACATATTGAAAACCACCTACCCCAGCAGCACATTGTGAAATCCAGTAATGAGAGGCGGCTGCAAGGCTAACTTTGCAATGTTATATGGTCACTTTTGGCCAGGGTGAGTGGGGCCGTGGTCAAAGGTTTTGAGGAAGACGTTGGAACAAGAACGTCCTTCTACGGATTCACAGCCTACTCCTTAGTGTCTTCTGTCTCAATTCTGGGAAATCGTGGATTCAAGAAGATCCCCGTGGGAAAGGTAACGCAGATTATGGCATATTGGATGTTTTCTCCCATGTGGGACAGCTAGTGGGGTTTTTAGAGAGGGGTCATTTAGATGAGAAAAATGGTGAAGGGGGAAAGGTTTATTCCCCACCCTCCAAGCTCCACATTAATATCCAAGCACTGGTTCCTCAGTCTGTGACCACTTAGTATCTATTGACATTAGGCTTGACAATAGATGAGCCTTTAACCCTAGTCCCAGCGTGTGTTTTATGTTGCAGAACAGCAGACCAGTCACTAAAGTGTCCAGCTCAGTTCTCCACAGAGGTAGAGCTAGCTGCTCCTGCACCCAGAGCGGCACACATGCTGTGCACCCAGGGGCAGGGCTAGCCATGGGGGGGGAAGTGTCCTGGGGGGGCGGCACAGCAATGTCACCTCCCTCAGGGATGATACCCGGGGTGGGCCGCACCCACTGCACCCCCCTTCCTCCGCCAGTGGAACTTCTTGGGAGAGCCACACAGTACCTAGTTTATGCTGACCCTGAATAATCTGGGTTGTCTCTGGATTTTTAAATCAGCACTCCAAATTTTGCAGAGCATTCCATTTTCTGTCGTTTTGCCTCTCTTGTTCCACTGAGGCTGGCCGTGCCTCATTTACATAAATTATTCAGAATGAGGTCTGGATCAGAATTTGGATTTTGTTTGGCCAGCACAGAATGCCTACCCATTCATTAGTTGTGCTCTGGCAGCGCTTATGCTCCATCTGCTGCAACCCCTACCAGCGTATGTGTGGCTTGTTTCCTAGGAGATCAAGTACCTTCATTTCCTGGAAGGGCCAAGAGATTACGAATGGCTGAAAGCTCTTCTGCTGAACACGAGAGTCAGGAAGGGATTTTTGGATGGCTATGGGTAAGAGAAGCAGATTTCCCCCTTTTTTGTTTCTCAGTCCATTTCAGGACAATGTTCCTTAAGAGTTTGGCCATTTTAGTTTGCATTTGCAGAAGACCATGGGCAGAGCCACACCATTCATTTAAAGTACATTCAAATTTCCATGTGGCAGTCAACAAATAAGGTATCACTCCCTTCTGTTTAATACTACAGTTGACTTCTTCAAATATGGATAGTGAAAACAATTCCAGAGTTAAAGCACTGGATTCTCCTGCTATTTTAACAAGTACAGTGGAACCTCGGTTATCAAATGCAATCCGTTCCAGAAGACTGCTCAACTTCCGAAATGTTCAACAACCGAGGCACAATTGCTGGTCGGCAAAATCCATTGAAAAAATGGAGAAACATGCCTTGGAAGCCATGCAATTTCCAAGGCACGTTCAAAAACGGAAGCATTCTCTTCCGGGTTGTTGGCATTCGAAAGCTGAAATTTTGACTTCCAAAGCGTTTGACAACCGAGGTTCCGCTGTAGTTGGTGAATCTTCAACCAGAACTCCTGTGTATGTGGGAATGCCCACCAAAGATTGTAGTATGTGCTCTTGCAGGTACAGCCATGTCAACATAAAGGCTTGATTGAGGACATCATATGTCACATGATCCCTCCAGGAAGACCTGACGGGCTGGAATATTGTCAGCAAAGAGTCCCATGCTACTGTGAATGAGCACAGGGCTCTTCTTTAGCAGCATTTGAACTCAGTGAGAAGAGAGCCTTTGGTCTCCTCATTCAATTTCTGTGGTAAACGCAACATCCTTTCCCCATCCCTTGATGACGCTTCATTTCTCCCCCTTGGCCCTTTTAAAAGCCACGTCCTCCTCGCCTCCTTTCCTTTTTTTGGCAGCGCTTTTGCTTTGTTTCAAACAGCCGAAATAAAGATCATTTGAAAGTTCATTTCCCATAAGGTTCTTAGGCACACCCTGAAAAATGGTGGCTGCCAACCACATCACCTCACTCATAGGAGAAGTGGCCAAACTAGTTCTTGCTTGAATGACACATGCTTGGCCTGAAAGGTTTTTTCTGTTTCCTTTCCCAGGCCATACCCTCGGGATAAATTTGGTAGCAATTTCACCCTGGATAACTACTTTGTCATTCATCCCGATTTTCTCAGATACATGAAAAACAGGTATGTGGTATGTAAAGTTAACTTGAATGATAAGGGATGCTCTGGGCTAGGTAAAGGTAAAGGGACCCCTGACCATTAGGTCCAGTCGTGGCCGACTCTGGGGTTGCGGCGCTCATCTCGCTTTACTGGCCGAGGGAGCCGGCGTACAGCTTCCGGGTCATGTGGCCAGCATGACTAAGCTGCTTCTGGCGAACCAGAGCAGCGCACGGAAACGTCGTTTATCTACTTGCACTTTGATGTGCTTTCGAACTGCTAGGTTGGCAAGAGCAGGGACCGAGCAATGGGAACTCACCCCGTGGCGGGGATTCAAACCCCCGACCTTCTGATCAGCAAGCCCTAGGCTCTGTGACTAGCAGAGTCCAAATAAACAGGCTTGTTAGCTCCAGTAAGGGGATAGGGCTCCTTGTCCTGGCATGATGATGTCATCATTTATGAACAAGAACAGCTGCCACTGCCTTCAATGGTAGTTAGAGAAGCTGTACCCACTGACAGTCGGGGCTTTTTTCAGCCAGAACTCACTGGTACCGAGTCCCGGCACCTCTTGGGGAGGCGTTCATGGTGAGTTCCGGCACCTCTTTTTCTAGAAACATAGCACTGGATTTCTTCTGCACAGTTCTTAAAAACACAGGGCCCTTTGACCGAACGGAAGATGGCAACTTTTACAAATGAGGAGCATCCATTGTTAGGTTGGCTTTACAGTGGTACCTCAGGTTACATACGCTTCAGGTTACATACACTTCAGGTTACATACACTTCAGATTACAGACTCCACTAATAGTACCTCGGGTTAAGAACTTTGCTTCAGGATGAGAACAGAAATCGTGCTCCAGCGGCGCGGCGGCAGCAGGAGGCTCCATTAGCTAAAGTGGTGCTTCAGGTTAAGAGCAGTTTCAGTTTAAGAACGGACCTCCGGAACGAATTAAGTACTTAACCCAAGGTACCACTGTATTGCTAAATTTTTTTAAATGCCACTTCTTTTACCTGCCTAAGCGGCCATCAGAAATTACAGGATGTGCTCCCACAATCAAATAAGGATGTAAGACAAGCCCTCTGTGCCCACAAAGCATCTCCAGCTAGCTTATTTACCTTTGTATCCTGTTGATAAAACTCAAAAAGAAACATTTTTTTTTAAAAAAAATAATATCTCATACTTCAGGTTTCTAAGATCCAAAAGTCTAGACAAATCCTACTGGCGGATCTATAGACCCACCACAGGTGCCTTCCTCCTTCTAACTGCACTCCATCTGTGTGACCAGGTAAGAACTCAAAGGCGCCTCAAAGGTTGCTTCCAGACAATCTGTCTGTTGAATCTTCCTCCTGATTTGTTTGCACAAAGTTTACAGGGCGGTTAGATCACGCCGGCTATTTGCTGAGCATTTGTTCTGATTTGTTTGCGGGGAGCTTATACAATGTGGCATTCAACAAAGAAGTTCAGTTTGCGGAGTGGGGGAGCGAGTTTGTTGCACAAGAGCTAGAAATTAATTTCGGAACTTGACTGTGGCTGAATCCCACCCTCAAAAATCAGTGGCGGTCTAGAAGTGCCCCGAGGTGATAATCTGAGCTGCAAGGACTGCAGACACACAGCGGGCAGGATTCAACTAGTAATTCCCATCAGCAGAAGCCGTCAACAAGGAATTCTGCTTGCGCTGTGGGGCTTCCTCCCCTTTTCATCTTCCATGCCCCCTCCCAATTGGCTAGGGGTGGTCTGGAGAACCCCAGGGACAACATGTGGGGCACGGGAGCAAGGCAAGTGGGGATTGTTCTCTCTAGCACGCTGATGGAACAATCACATTGGTGTGACATTTAATTCCTCCCCATATCTCGGGGATGTTAGGGATGCCGTCAATGGACAGGGTTGTATCAGCTGAGGGTGGTGAGGCTGAACCCCTTTCTCCCTTACTTCTCCCCAGTCTAAATCCTGCCCTGCCAAAACCTCTCTGACACACACACACACTTCAGTGACGAATAACAGCTTTGGATGGAGATTGCTTTAGGTTAAGGAAAGGGCAAGGGAAGAAAAGGTTTGAGCATCCTCTCGGCCCATGCATTATTTCCCCAGCCTTCAAAACTGCCCCCTGGGGCTGCTAATAATTTTGCAGGAGACCCTAGTCACCATGGATCTTCCACAGCACGTCTCTGTGTGGGCCACATTATTATTATTATTATTATTATTATTATTATTATTATTATTTAGCCCTCCTTTATCCTGTAGCTCCCCAATCATGGCTCTTGGCTTTCCACAGGTAAGTGCTTACGGATACATCACCGAAGGCTACCAAAAGTATTCAGATCATTATTATGACCAGAAATGGCACCGCTTAGTCTTTTATAGCAACCATGACTTTGATTTGGAACGGAGGACATGGAAGAAACTTCACGACTCGGGCATCATGAAGCTGTACCAGCGATCCTGAGCGAGATGAAAAGGGAGCCCTGGCTGATGGCAAATTTTGGAAGCTGAGATGGATCTGAGCCATATTTTCTATTATCATTTTGGTAGAGCGGGTCCTTGCCAACTAAAGACTTGGTCCTTGCAACAACAAATACCCGTTCCGCTGCACATGCAGTTTTGTTGGTTGCAGAACAAAACAAAAGACTAAAAGGATATTACTGCTTGAAAACATTTTGATGGGGTTAATTATTCCCTGAGAATCCACTGTGAGTATGATGAGCCGGGTTGGCCACTGCTACCTGTGTTGGCTGGAAGGGGTCTCAGACAGCATTTCCGCTGTACTCTCTGGTCCATTTTACTCCTTCCTGGTTTCAGTTCTCCACCAGTCAGTCTCTACTACAGTAGCTTAAACATTTGATTTACATCAGTGAAGAGCAAAGCTCAACAATCAGCCCTTGCTTTTTCCTCTGTGTGTGTGTTGTCAACATGTCTTGATGCATTTGCCATCGCTTTGGTGAAGCCTATTTTCTCATTAGATGTTTTCCCATTAGATGTGCTCTGTCTCTGCTCTGGGAGGCGATCCTGGGGCTTTAAGTTCTCAGTAGGGTCGCAAGGACTCATTGTTTCTCGGCTCTGGAATCCAAGCTGTGCCACATTGCTCCAGGTTGCTAGGTGACCATCTCCATGCTGGCATTCTTCAAAGCTGAATAGGACCCTTTTCAATTCCCAAGAAGTTTTTGAAGTTTCTCTCTCCAGAGGCCCTTTCTCTCTTGCACTTCTCTGTTGTGGAAAGGAGATTACCTTCCAACTCCTTCATATCAGCAGGAGGTGATGGAAAATTCTCCCTTGACAACAAAGTCAGCTGCAAATCCAAGAAAAATCAAGGGCATAGAGACATGGACAAAGATCAACTGTCTGCATGACCGGAGCTGATTGCACCCCTGTCTTGCTTTTTTCCTACAAGACCATAGAACTGGTTTGGGATTAATCATTGTAGCCTTACTGGAGGAAAAATCCTGATCTCTTAGGATCCAGAAAACAGAAGGTTAAGATGCTGAATTTCCTTTAAGTTCAGGCTGGAGGGTGGATCCATTCTGCCTCTTTAGATAGATAGATATTGACACTGTTTTTTATTTTATTTTTACAAAGCAGCTGATTGGTTTAACAGAGTTGTTAAAAATATAGTGTAAAGATACTATCAAATATTTTTTTTCTGATTTATGAAAGGCCAGAGTAGATGTGATGCTTGTGATAAAAGAGGGAGAGAAGCAAGGAAAGAAAATAAAAGTGAAGAAAGTGAAGTACTTTTTTATTGCTGGGTTGTCCAGTTGTACTGGAAATCTACTTGTACACGTATGCATTCCTATCCCCACTCTATTGCTCTTGGCGTCCGTTGCTACATAGTTTGCTCTTATCTGAAAGTACTACCATGTACTTGTTTCTCGAGTGGTATTTCTTAACCAGTGTTATAAGTAGTTAAAGTTGCATTTCTCACCTGGCAGTAAGCCTCAATGAACTCAATGGAACTTTCTTCTGAACACACCTGCGTAGGATTGCAGTGTAAGGTAAGAATTACAAGACAAACTTTTCAGGAGCTGGCAGAGGCAGTTAATATCACAATATAAAAATAGTGCAGAGTTTTTAAAAAACAGACCTATGTTTACACTTACACCTTATTAAATGCAATACTCAGAAAAAGTCCTACTGAGCTTACTTCTTAGCACTGCAGCCTGAATGCTTTTGCTTATACAAGAACGTGATCAGAATGGATGTAAATATAAAAATACCTAGGTTAGCCAGCACAGGAATGGGTGTCTTGACCAGGAGAGGGCAGGGAAACGTTCTTTTTGCATTTGCAGAGCTTTGCAAAGGGTTTCATCTTTGAATCATTCCTCTAAAACATCTCCTTTCCAAAGGCAGGATACTGGCTAGTTCTGACTTTTCACCTATTCCGCTATGACCCTTACAATGAGCAAGTCATTAGTGAAATGCCCATCATCAATATGGCAGGGAGTTTGTTTGTCAAAGAAGGTTATATATTCCACAAAACCTACCCATCCAGAGAATGCATACACTGCATGCCCTCAGACACACACGTGAGGTGAACCATAGTGATAGAGGAAAGAGTTTTCCCCATTCAAGTGGGGGGACTAAACTTTCTTCCACCTCTCTGGTGCGGACGCCAATGTATGGGCTGAAGGCAGTGGCGTAGCATGGGTTGTCAGCACCCGGGGCAAGGCAAGTAATTTGCACCCCCTAACCCGTGGATTTGCGCCCCCTAACCCGTGGATTTGCGCCCCCTAACCTGTGGATTTGCCCTAACCCCAGATGTTGCGCCTGGTGCGGCCGGCCCCCCCTGCACCCCCCACGCTACGCCACTGGCTGAAGGTGTCCCAAGAACATGCGCAAGAATGTCCATGTTCTCCCTGCATAATTGTAATGCTGCTTTGGTCCATCAGGTGGCAGCATCTCTTTAGGTTGCCATATGATTTATTGACAGCAAAGCTCAAAGTAATGCGTTCTGTGTGAGGCTGCCCTTAGGGACCAGTCTGAAAGCCTCAGCAGCTCCAAAAGGCAGGGGCTAAGGTACTGAGCCAGGCATCCTATCATGTAGCTGTTATACCACTCTTAAACCTGGCCAGGTTTAAGGTTTTAGTTTTGCACTGCAAAGCCCTGAACTAGTGACCAGCTTACTCAAAGGAGTGCCTTTGTCAGTCTGCCCAGTCACTAAGATTGTTGGATGAATCCCTCCTGGCTATGCTGTGTCCTACAAATGCTTTTTTAGAGGTGACAAGAGGAAAGGCCTTATTAGTGGTGGCACCCGCTCTGTAGAATCACCTCCCCTCTCTGAATTGCAGCAATTGCCTACACCGTTGCAATTTTGGCATGTGCTGCAAACCCCTCTGTTGTCTGAGGTCCTTGTTGGCCACCAATACCAGCTAGTTTCTTTTTAACTTAACCTTCTGTTTGCCTAGAGACTACATTTTATTCTCAACTGTAGTTTTGTTGTACTTCTTGGTTTTGTACACTTCTGGCTGTTGTTTATGAAAAGCAATATAGAAATGTGTTCATAGATTATTAGTTTTAATGCACTCTTTTCACAAAATAGCATTGCAATATGTGATGTTGCAAAAGTGCCACAATCTGAGATATGGTGTACCATCTTTCGTACAGCTGTCAGTCACAGTGTAAGTGCGGGAGTGTGTGTGTGATCCAATCTGACGTACTGCAATGGAAAGCAGAATACCCAAGCGCTGTTCATATGCAAATCTTTTCTCCGGAGTGCATTAGGGCAGGGGTCTGCAACCTTTAAGACAAAAAGAGCCACTTGGACCCGTTTCCGAAAAAACAACAACAACTGGGAGCCGCAAAAACATTGCAACATTTAAAACAAATATAACACTACATATATTGTTTCTGGCCTTAATGCTATATATACAGGATCGTGCAGTCAGCTGTCAATCTCAAGAAAAAAGGACAAATTAATAGCTAATTAAAATATTTAATTTACAACCAGGTAACCAGGTTAATGGGACTTTTGCTCCTGAACCTCAGTGCTCAGTGTCTGCACATCAGGGCTGTAAGACGTCACCTTCATTTTCACACAGGCTTGCAAGCTGTCATCTGTGAGGCGTGATCGGTGCTTGTTTTTAATATAGTTCATGTTGGAGAAGACCTGCTCACATACATATGTGGAAGAGACCACAAGGGCCATCGAGTCCAACCCCCTGCCAAGCAGGAAACACCATCAGAGCACTCCTGACATATGGTTGTCAAGCCTCTGCTTAAAGACCTCCAAATAAGGAGACTCCACCACACTCCTTGGCAGCAATTCACCAAACTTTCACCTGCTTAAGTTTAAAAAGGGGCTTCAAGCAACTAAAAAGGGGCTTCAGGCAACTAACTCCACGTGGAATTCCACGCGACCGCGACTGCATAATCAATGCCACAAAATGCCAAAGAAAATTAACCAGGGCCCCAGTGAACCATAAATCATAATCAGTGCCTGATGTAAATAATAATTAATAATGAGGGCCCAATGTCATCCTCATCATTATAAAAATAATCCCTCTCTTCGTGCCGCCCAGCCTCCCAAGAAAAAAACCCCACTTCAAACGGTCACAAAGCACAAATTCCACGCGACCGCGACTTGCTATGCCCAATAATCAATGCCCCAAAATGCCATAGAAAATTAATCAGGGCCCCAGTGTACCATAAATCATAATCAGTGCCTGATGTAAATAATAATTAATAATGAGGCATTCGTCATTATAAAAATACCGTATTTTTCGCCCCATAGGACGCTCCGTCCCATAGGACGCACCTAGTTTTTTGGGGGGGAAATAAAGGGGGAAAAATTTCCCTTTATTTCCCCCCCAAAAGCAGGTCGGGGAAACTGAACCAGGTCGAGGAACAGCGGGATGGCGGCGCTTCGCCTCCCTGCTGTCCCCCGAGCTTGTGGGGCTGGCCGATGCCTGCGGGGCGGCAGGCTGCTATCCGCAGCGTGGGGAGCCTTGCCGGGACCTCCGGCAAGGCTCCCCACGCTGCGGATGTCTGCCTGGCGAGGGGGGCGCTCTGCTTTAGGGCGCCCCGCCCGCCGGGCAGCAGGCTGCTATCCGCAGCGTGGGAAGCCTTGCCGGGACCTCCGGCAAGGCTCCCCACGCTGCGGATGTCTGCCTGGCGAGGGGGGCGCTCTTCTGTACGGCGCCCCGCCCGCCGGGCGGCAGGCTGCTATCCGCAGCGTGGGGAGCCTTGCCGGGACCTCCGGCAAGGCTCCCCACGCTGCGGATGTCTGCCTGGCGAGGGGGGCGCTCTTCTTTACGGCGCCCCGCCCGCCGGGCGGCAGGCTGCTATCCGCAGCGTGGGGAGCCTTGCCGGGACCTCCGGCAAGGCTCCCCACGCTGCGGATGTCTGCCTGGCGAGGGGGGCGCTCTTCTTTACGGCGCCCCGCCCGCCGGGCGGCAGGCTGCTATCCGCAGCGTGGGGAGCCTTGCCGGGAAGTCCGGCAAGGCTCCCCACGCTGCGGATGTCTGCCTGGCGAGGGGGGCGCTCTGCTTTACGGCGCCCCGCCCGCCGGGCGGCAGGCTGGTCACCTCCGCCCCTCGCCTCCGCCCCTCGCCACCGCCCCGGAGCCGCAGCAAAGGCTTTAAAGAGCCGCATGCGGCTCTGGAGCCGCAGGTTGCCGACCCCCGCATTAGGGAATCAGGGGGGAATCAGAACAGAAGGAGGAAGCCCTGTGCCACCCAGCCAATGCTCTGGTCTTCTGCTCCTTGACCCAGAAAGGTTGGTGATCCCTAATTTAGCACATCCAGTCTGCTTTCAATATCATTACAATAACAAAGCAAGACAAAGGGGGATGGTTTGTGCTCTCTCTCTCTCATTGAGTCTGTTGCTGTTTTCACCATGCCACATAATAAAAGAAGAGGAAACTAGTGTGGCCATTTGAAAGCGCATATGAAAAGTCAGTGCCTGAGGTAAAAAAAAGGTAAAGGGGACCCCTGACCATTAGGTCCAGTTGTGACCAACTCTGGGGTTGCGGCACTCATCTCGCTTTATTGGCCGAGGGAGCTGGGTACAGCTTCCTGGTCATGTGGCCAGCATGACTAAGCCACTTCTGGTGAACCAGAGCAGCGCACGGAAACGCCGTTTACCTTCCCGCCAGAGTGGTACCTATTTATCTACTTGCACTTTGATGTGCTTTCGAACTGCTAGGTTGGCAGGAGCAGGGACCGAGCAACGGGAGCTCACCCCATCGTGGGGATTCAAATCACCAACCTTCTGATCGGCAAGTCCTAGGCTCTGTGGTTTAACCCACAGTGCCACCTGCATCCCTTGTTTTCATCATGCCACATAATAAAAGAAGAGGAAACTAGTGCGGCCATTTGAAAGTGCATATGAAAGTCAGTGCCTGAGGTAGATTGACTCAAATATGGCCTCTCTGAGGGTTGGAGAGATTCTTCCATCACCAAGGAGCTGTTAGGAATTGTCCCTCAGTCATTGCGCTGGAATGCACTTGAAGCTACTTGAGTTCCCCAACTGTCTTTGACTCCAGCCTTCCAGCAGCTCCTATGAAAGGAAGTGATCGCTGAAAAACTCCTGTCTCAAACCCAAAGAGATGCTGCCAGTGGCTGAGTTTGGCTCAGTTTCAGGGCAACTTTCCATGTTCCTAAATTCTGCTTTGAATCGAACCTCAGGATTGCTTCCTCCTTCCCACAAGCTCATCCCCAAGTCTGCTCTTTCCTGGTCCTCCTCCTAAATCCATGGGCATCTAAAGTTTGACATGTACCACAGTAGAGATATGCACATTTGCTTTTGTTCCTAAGCATATCGTGCTCACGGTGGAAGGATTTTGTGAAGTCTCCTGAGACATATGCTATCTACTCTGCCCATATGCTGCAGATTCCCAGACTGCCATATGCTCTATGTTCTTTGGCAGGGTTGATGGATGACAGACTTTGTAGACCATCTCGAGGATCTTTATGGGGAGATGTATACTTCTCATGCTTGGATTTTCTGCTCTGGGTGCAAACGAAGATCCAGCCTTTGATGAAAAGCTATACTAAGTGTTAACAGCCTCAGTAAAGCTGTGGATGTGGCAACTGGTTGACACAGGTGTGGGTGTGCACCTTCCTCTCTAATAAAAATATGCCTGAAAGCCAGGTCAATGGGCTTGGATGAGCATTGCAATTATCAGGGCTAAGTGAGCCACAGGCAACACAGAGAGAAGTTGGTTGCCAACTACCCAGAATCACTCCAGAGGCACGAAGACGATTGCTCAGGCAAAGCCTATACAGAAAGTCTCTTATAGGTAAAGGTAAAGGGACCCCTGACCATTAGGTCCAGTCACGGGCGACTCTGGGGTTGCGACGCTCATCTCACTTTACTGGCCAAGGGAGCCGGCATACAGCTTCCGGGTCATGTGGCCAGCATGACTAAGCCGCCTCTGGCGAACCAGAGCAGCGCACGGAAACACCGTTTACCTTCCCGCCGGAGCGATACCTATTTATCTACTTGCACTTTGACGTGCTTTCGAACTGCTAGGTTGGCAGGAGCAGGGAACGAGCAACTGGAGCTCATCCCGTCGCAGGGATTCGAACCGCCGACCTTCTGATTGGCAAGTCCTAGGCTCTGTGGTTTAACCCACAGCGCCACCCGCATCCCTTATAGACTCTCCTGTAAGGCCTCAATGGTTAATTTAGGTGGGTGGGGCAGTTCAGTGCCTGAGAAGACACCCCTTCCCCAGAACAGGACAGAAGTTAGCACACAGC